GCATAGAGTTTTCAGTGACTAGCGATTCGGAAGTAGTTTGTCACTCTTTCTTCCTAGTCTGTCTTTGTTTTGTAGCTCATCTGAAACCTTTCCACAATGGGTGACCCTGCTGGTTATTTAAAACACCCGTGGCATAGCCCTCAGAATCACAGCAATTCAAACCACCACAGCATGACAGACATATAGTTGCTATATGCCATTGAGTCAGTCAGTTCTGACTCTGTATAGGATTTCTGAGAACAGCTGGTGGGTTTGAAATGTGGATTTGAGGTTAGCAGTCTAGTACTTATCCTACAGCACCACACCAGGACTCCCCTCTAAATATACTCATGTACAATTATGATTTTAAATATCTTTTGAAATCCATTTTTCCTGGGTCTGAAACCTGTCATGAAAGCATTAGGTGTGTTTGTTTCTCTCTGTTTGCCAAAACATACCTTATAATTGTGTTTGATTGTATGATGTGTAACAACGTCAATTACTTACAAATGGTTTTTGCTTTTTTTAACTTTCAGGATGCCACGATAATAGGATATTCTATTTTGGATGGGTTATTCATTTTCTTATTGGCTGCAAACTGCATAGCTCCTTACATTGGTATGAACAGCATCAGTGATTACAAAGTAAGAGAGAGAAATATATTTTTATATGTCTCCATTAATTAGAACTTCATTGTTTTATACACACAGGATTTTCTTTCCAGAAAAATATGTTTACATATACATTACATTTTTCTAATCTCAGGTTGTTGTTGTTAGGTGCTGTTGAGTTACTTTTAGATTTACAGTTGCCTCATGTGACCAGTCACTGGAGAAGGCTATCATGTTTGGTAGGGTGGAGGGTCGGAAGAAAAGAGGAAGACCCCCAGTGAGAAGGATTGGCTATGTGGCAGCATCAATGGGCTCAAGCGTGGCAACAGTAGTGAGGTTGGCCCAGGATGGAGCAGTGTTTCATTCTGCTGTGTATAAGGTTGCTATGAGTTGGCACCGACTCGATGGCACCTAACAACAACAACAACATGTGACAGAGTAGAATGGTCCCATGGGGTTTCAAAGGCTGAGACTTTGATGGGAACAGATCACCAGTTCTTTCTCCCAGGAGGCTCTGAGTAGGCTCCAGCTACTAACCATTGGGTTAGCAGCTGAGTGTTTAATCTTTGTTCTTAACCACCAACCAGGTCTCCTTAGCCTCATTAAAGAATCTAGTAAATAGTTACTCTTGATTTCAAAGAATGGGAAAGTTCATGACTGAATGCCATAAACTTGTCTCTGTTTCAAAGGCCATCGTGCTAAATCTACTTGAGCAGTGAAGATGTGGTGCTCTGGTTGTTGTAGTTATTTTACGATTCCCAAGGGAGTTTGAATTTTGAAATCTTGCATGAAATGTAAGGTGTCACCCATTTCTCAGCGTTTCACTGTGATTTTATAAACTGAGACTTTAATAAAATATGGTATAGTAATTTTTATTGATCTATTTGTGATTATTGAGTACCAATGAGTCAGTCTATCGATATCAGAGTTTCTATCAGCTTTAGAAGTAGGCCAGCCTTTTCCTATTGAGCCAATGGACATCTATTTCCATATTGTAGTTGTTGTTGTTAAGTCACGTCGATGCCAACTCATAACAACCCTATATAGGGTTTCTGAGGAGCAGCTGGTGGGGTTGATCCACCAGTTTTGTGGTTTGCAGTCCAGTGTGGATCCTTTAACGCCATACCAGGAGACTCCTATCCCCACGTTAGCAAGTGGTCAGATCCTCAGGAGGACATTTTCTGTGTTTCTGATCAGAGGCCCTATTTTCAACTTAGTTGTCCTGGGACATGCTTCTGTAGCCCTGGGTGAGAAGTTTACTACAACTCAGATTCATTATATGATGTAATATGGGCCCCAAACAGGCTCCTGCTATAAAATGTTACTTTAAAAATGTATTGAAAGTTAATATTTTCACTTAACAAAATACTTCTTTCAACCTAAAATTTCAACCTCCCTTCTCTTTATTGAATAGAAGAAGACTCAGTTCCAGTTGAGGATTTCTGGCCTCTTCCATTCAGCATACTGGTTTGGACAGGCTCTGGTGGACATCCCATTATACTATTTGATATTCCTTTTCATATTTTTCATTCAATACTTCATATTCTCAGAATATATCATTTTAAGCAGATTCTTAATTATTATGGTAAGTGATCATCTCCCTTCCAGGCCAAATCTAATAATAGAATCAAAATGAGAATTTTTTTATTAGTGGTTTGTTATTAACAAAAGACATGTATCTCTAAGAAATGGCCTTTGTTGGCTCTATGATCTGATTCTCTTCCCTGACTTCTCACCCCTTACAGGACCTGCCACCCCTAATCTTGCTGGTATCTCCTGTTCTTTGCAGGTGGTGTGCATATTGGGCTTTGCGTCTTCCCTTATGTTCCTCACCTATGTGATTTCATTCATTTTTCGTAAGGGGAGAAAAAATAATGGCCTTTGGTCTTTTGGCTTTTTTATTGTAAGTATCTCTCTATGTTTGTGTATGTGTCTGTATACACAATCTCCACATGTACATTTATAGGAAATTTTCTTGATGTTCATGTTTTTAAATGGAAGGTTGAATAGAAACACATTCTTTTGTTGTTGTTGTTGTTAAGTGCTGTCAAGTCGGTTCTGACCCATAGAGATCTTGTATAGGGTTTTCAAGGAGCATCAGGTGAGCTTGAACCACCAACCTTGCAGTTCAAATGACTTTGCAGTCCAATGCATTAACCCACAGCGCCACACTAAGACTCCAATACATTCCTTAGAAAAAAAAGTAAAGTGATTTATTTTATAGTCCCCTCGATGAATTTGGACAATATTCCTCAATTTAGATATTATCTTGGTAATTTTCATTTACCCATTCTCCTTGTCTTCTGTGAGACTTCTCTTTTATACCTCTTTTTCTTTGTAAAGAAGCAAGACTCAGAATGTGGTTTGGCATGTCACAAGTAAAAGACTAGATCCCTTAAGTCAGTCTCCCACACTTTAGAGGGCAGGAGTAAGTGACCCAGTAACAGGTAGCCAGATGAATGAATAAATTATGAACAAGCACATAAACATGGATGGATGGATGAATGGATGGATAGATGGCTGGTTGGATGCATGGTTGGATGGATTTGTTTATTCCTTCACACCTACTCTAACTGCATCTCCTTCCCCACCCCTTGTGGATACTGGAGCAGATACTAGAACTAGACCATTATGATCCCCTCAGATACTAAAATAATTTCATTTAGTTCATTTAGGTTCTTTCAGAGCAGCAGCAAAAGTGCCCGGTCAACTCTAAATCATAACTTTCATATCATAAGTAATGTAAAGATCTTCTTTGTCTCCCCCATCCACCTCAGGCATACCCTGTAGTTTGGGGATCAGCTGTGGCGAAGGGACCAGCACCTACTCTTTTACTTTGTCTCTTTCTTTTCAGAGCAGAGGGATTTATGACCGACCTCAGTATATCTCCATGTGCTTCTAGTTCTTTGGAATGATAGTTTACTATTCCCTATGGGAGAAACCCTAACAATATTGCTGAGGTTAATATTGAAAATGTGAATATCTTCTGGGAAAACGAATTATCCATAGAAAATATCTTAAAATATTAAATGTATCTGGAATCATTGTAATAACTCTTGATTTGATTTTCTTCTAGACCCCACTGATTACATTCATCATCATTATATCAAATGAGTTAGGAAATGCCGCTTTATTTTCATTCATGATCTTAATACCTCCCTTCACTTTAATTGGATTTCTCCTATATTTGGCAAAGGTATGTAATATTATCCACTGTCTCATTGATCTTGACCTTGAAGGCCATTAAAGTGATCTCCCCCAAGATGGGACAGGTGCACCATGTGAAAGAGAGATTATTCAATGCTGTTAAGTTCTGAAAACAAAAATTAAAAATTATCAAATTAAAAGGTCTCAAATTCTCTTAAGACCAGTATTCATACTCACAGAGAAGATGGCACATCTTTGCAGAAATGCAGCAGTAAGTTCACCTTTGATTTAGGAATTCCAGAAGGAATTAAGGGAGAACACTAGAATGTTTCCATCATTACAAAATACTCTTTGGGAGAGAATCAATTTTCCATTTCAACCTTGGTGAATGTCTGAAATTCTGATTGTGGTTGAGTACAATATGGAGCAACTTGGATGATAGAATATATTGTGTCTGTTGACTGTATACTACTTGTTGTGGTTGTTAAGTGCCATAAAGTCAGTTCCTTCTGTAGGGTTGCACCACCGACCTTGCAGTAAAGTCCAGTGTTTATTCTAGAGTGCCACACAGAACTCCTAAGTGTCAATGAATTGCTCTTTGGGTCTGTGATGGGTTGAAAGCATACTAAATGTTTCTGGGAGAAACCAAGTGCCTTTATTGTTGACACATTGCAGAATCTACTTACAGACCTTGTTTATTTCACAGTTTTCTATTTGGTCACTCCCACTAAGAAGAAACTTGGAAGCCATTACTACATAGAGTAGGAAAACAAAAAATGTTGGTGGTTAAACCAACAAAGGATGGCAGCCTAGTTGAGGATTTTAGTATCCGAAAACTAATCTTTATCCCCTAAAGTTATGGACTATTCACTGGTACTGAGTGAGCTACCATGTACAATGTAGGAGTATTTAATGTGCAAATTTTATATTGGGAAAATAGAGAAACTTCCATTTAATCTTTGTTTTTCTTTGCCAGCTCACTGTTGTCTATCCAATGGATGCTGAAAGTCTGAACAGTGGAGTAGAAGTCAATGAAACTATTCTCCTAATAATCTTAATCGTAAGAGAAACTTTCTACCAGAATATGTACTATATAGGATTTGTAACTATGGGATGCACTTGATATTGTTCAAAGAACAAAAAATTTAAATATCCTAAAAACACTTCCTCTTATTACATTTTCTATTTCAGTATAATAATGGTAAAAGTCAAAGATATTTTTTCTATGTTGTTGTTGTTGTTAAGTGCCGTCGAGTCGGTTCCGACCCATAGCGACCCTGTACAGGGTTTCCAAGGGTGTAAATCTTTACGGGAGTAGAAAGCCTCATCTTTCTCCCGCGGAGCGGCTGGTAGTTTCGAACCGCTGACCTTAAAGTTCGCAGCCCGATTCGTAACCACTACGCTACCAGAGCTCCTTTTCTATGGACAGTCATAAATAGTATAGTGTACACTAGAAATTCTAGACGATTATTATTATGACTTTATTATTTATATGTAGCCAAGGATAATTTGAAACAATACCACAGATACTGTAGGACTGAAAATCATTTAAATATGGGTAAAAAGTCAAACATTTGAATAATGAAGAAGAAAAGAGAAAGACATTAGCAGAGTTTTGCTTTTCCCCCTGGGGAAAGATACTGAAACAAAAAACCCACAATTTATCAAGGAAGAAATTTTCCTAAATTTTATACATTTATGCATTTTAGCGTAGTGGTTATGAATCGGGCTGCGAACCTTAAGGTCAGCAGTTCGAAACTAACAGCTGTTCCACGGGACAAAGATGAGGCTTTCTGCTCCCGTAAAGATTTACAGCCTCAGAAACCCTGTACAGGGTCGCTATGGGTCGGAACCGACTTGATGGCACTTAACAACAACAACATAAATTTTCACAAGAATCTTTATATAATGAAAGTATATTCTTCCTATTTGATAAATGCATAGCAGAATATTTCATGTCTATATATGAAATATTTTTAGTTGACCATTGATTGTACTGAAAAAACAAAAGAAAACCAACTGTCGTCCAGTTGATTCTGACTCCCAGTAACACTTTAGTACAGAAAAGAGCTGCTCCATGGGGTTTCGAAAGCTGTAACTAATTAGTATAAACAGGTTCCTCCTTCTTTCTCCCAGGTAGTTGCTGGTGGGTTTGAACCATTGACCTATCGGTTAGCAACTGAGTGCTTAACCACGGCACCACCATGGTTCCTTTAATTGATGATACTAAAGGCATAAGGAGTCTTGGTGTGGCACTGTTAGATAAACACTAGATTGTTAACCACAAGGTTGGTGGTTCAAACCCACCAGCCACTCTATGGAAACTATTTACAGCGTCACTATGAAGTTGAAATAGACTCCATGGCATCTAACAACAATGGCAGAGGCATAAAACTGTTCTAATGGGACATATACTGATCAGTGTATGCAGCTCTGGCTGACATAAAAGCTCTGGAACCCACAAGACATAAGATACTAGAGATGTATCTTTCACTCACTGAAAGCTCAGTGTAGGTTGTGTGGCCCTCCTCCATTCTGTAGCTATGGCATACGTTCTTGTTAGGTGCCATGAAGTAGGTTCTGATTCATAGGGTTTCTGAAAAGTGGCTGACAGCAGTCCAGTGCTTATCCTACAGTGTTATATTATATGACTGTGGTTGTTAAGTGCTGTGGAGTTTGTTCTGATTCATAGTGACCCTGTATATGGTTTCCTAGAAGTGGCTGATGGGCCACATTGTATGAGAATTTTGATTTCCAGGATTGCTCCTGCAAGACAAGAGAGGACTAGAGCATTATTGTTGATGCTGTTAGGGGCCATCGAGTCAATACCGACTCATAGCAACCCTATGCACAACAGAACGAAACACTGCCTGGTCCAGCACCAACCTCCCAATCATTGCTATGACTGAGCCCATTGCTGCTGCCACTGTGCCAATCCATATCCTTGGAGGTCGTCCTCTTTTTCCCAAACCCTCCACTTTACCAAGAAGGACCGGGTCCCTCCTGATAATATATCTGAAATATGAGAGGCAAAGTCTGGCCATGCTGGCTTCTAAGGAGCATTCTGGTTATACTTCTTCCAACATAGATTTGTTTGTTCTTTTGGTGGTCCATGGTACTTTTAATATTCTCATCCAACATCATAACTGAAATGCATCAATTCTTCAATTTTTATATGGTCTTATTTATTAATATATACATAAAATATACATATTCATTATAGGGTACATTTTATCAGCCAGACCTAGAAGTGACTTGCAGTACTTTTCCTCATGTAATGCTCCAGGGCTCCTTATGTATTCACTTTTGATCAATTACATGTAATGGTAAACACAACTACAATTAGTCTCCAGACATAAAAATTTATACCTGATTCATTTCTTTGTCTGTGTCTCTCTCTCAAGAGAGGCAAGATCTGAAAATGCCATTCATTATCAATTTTAGAAGCTAGCTTTTCTGAATTATATATATTTTTTCCTTTCTGTTTTTTTGTTTTAGCTTTGTGAATGTCTCTTCCCATTTACTTCTGCTGAGAACTGTATTGTTAACCCTCTATAAGTAATGAGTCAGTTTCCTCTGGTTATTTCAAGATTCTCTTCTTGTCTTTGACTTTCAGCAGCATGTCTATTACACTCTGTATTTACACATTATTTTTTTCTGATAAAAACCTGAATTGAGGTTGTTCTTGCCTGACAAAGATCTCACATTCAGGGGGCTTGATGGTGGCTAGGGTGAAGGTGTAGTGAAGGTCGTTGTCAGCAATAACTCAGAATTCCAGGCAAAAAAGAGGCAAGACAGAGCTCCAAAACTCAGACCCACAGAGATAGGAATAGTTTAAAGGTTTGAAGGCTTATAGCCTCTGGAATTTGGAGCTGAGGTGGGAAATAGCGTACTTTTGAATCTGCCGGCCAGGCTCTGAGGGCGAGACCTGGGCGAGACCAAGCGGTGGGCCGCAGAGACGCCACAGAAACATGCTGCGGGAACCTTGGGGAAAAAAAGGTGCACAGTGTACTTTGCTGATTATGTGTGGTTCTGATTTTATTTTTTTTTCTTTGGTGTCGGGTAATAGGAACACTCACTGTTTGCCCACCTCCATTCAGGTGAATAGAGGTAGGGGCTTAGCC